GTGCTGTGCTTTAACCCGCTGCGCCACCAGGGAGGGCCACAAGTTGTAACTTTTAATGTCATAAAACTTTCTTTTTTCCCCTTTAAATATCAATGACATTAATGTCTCTTTGATTTTAAAGGAACTTTTTATTTATTTATTTATTTTTAGTAATTCCTGTGCTCATTAGTTTTGGCTCCCATTTCAACTCAGTTCATCTTAATAAGTTTAAGATGCTGGTGTGTGAGGAATAGCTAATGGACTTCCCTTTCCAGGACCTTAAAAATATAAAGATCTATGACCAGTTTCAAAGTGGGTCTAAAAATTGCCGTAAAAGTCTTTAGAAAGTTAGAGAATAAAATAATGCCTTCTGTGCTCTTGGAGCTCTTATTTTCTTTTATATTACTTTAACTCCTTTGCATATTCTTATATATTAATTTACACCACTTTAGATACATGGGACCTTCCATTTCTCCCAGATCTGAATTTCAAGATACATGTATCTTAGTACTGTTGCTACCACTTAACAATTGTCAGTCTTTGAGCAAATAACTTGACTTTCTTTTCACATTCTTCCACTGCAAAACTGGGATACTCTTAGTACTTATCCACCACCTCAGTTTGTGTGGGAAGGAAATGCAGTAATATGTGCAAAAGTCTTAGTGCAATGCCTGGCCTATGGAAAACACTCAGCAAGGTTAGCTGTAGCTAGCTAGTCTGGACTTCTCCAGTCCTCCCATCCCTGCCTGCTGCCTCCCGAAAGTATGTATGTGTCTAGCATTGTCTTATCATTGTAGCTACTTTACTGTGTGTTAATCTTAATTTTTTATAAGAAACTATCAACTCCTTTGGGCAGAAGCTATATCTTAAAATTATTTTATATCAGTGTTTTTATTCTGTGTTAGTACAAGAGGTACTTAGCAAATTATCAGTTATTAATTGAGTCATTTTTTGAAAAGTATTTACCTTTGTTAAATATTTCAAGGAAGGGACACAAATGTCACACTTCTGTGATTTTTGCTATCTTTACTAAAATTAAATATGGTTGATGGCTTACTCTAAAGGTTTATAAAAATGCCTTTAATCTAATCTTACAGGGTGTGTAAATCATAAACCCAGCTTGCTGACTCTATGCTCCCATCTGTCATACTTTACCACAATAGGTAAACAACAACTTTGAATTATATTAAATGTCAACCTTGGTGCCCATTAGTTGATTGCTTTCCATTCTGCAAATATAGGAGTTATGCTGAATTGATTGTATCAAAATGACACATTTCATATTGGAGTATAATATCATATGTACCTTGGATGCCTTGAAATTTCTATAAACTTAGTTTTTATATGTGGTTTCTTAAAATCCTGGCTTCCCGTTTTTTATCTCTTTTTTCTTTTTCATTTATCCCCATACCATCTAAGGTTCTTAAAGCCTATATGCAGACAGCTCAGCCAAAATTCTAATGCTCATTAATCAGTGGGGGTATTAAATGCCACAGTAAAACATCCATCATATTGTACTAGCCATTGAAACTTTACTTTTTATTGGGAGTTATGTTTTTTTTTAAGTATATTATTTCCTCACACCAGGCTGATATATACAGAGGTTATTGATCCAGAACATACCCACTAATCTCAAGTTTTATAATTTAAGAACTAAGAAATTGCTCCCCTATTAAGAGTCAGTTCAGCATGGATTAGTTATTGACTTTCCATGCCCTATGGGGAGGGTTTGAGATCTGGATCAACCCTAATCTTAAAAATATTTTTAATTAACTATGGTGCCTTACTTTTCCAGGAGGGTCTCCCTCCTTCCCCTAACCCTGCTGATATTAAATGTTTTCTCTTATACAGGTGCTATAAAATTATGCTTGTAGGAATAATGCACTTCTATTTTACTTACTAAGATCAGCAGTTTTAGGAAGTTTACTGTTTGAAATTATTATTTATTATGTGCATTTATTAAAGAAGAGATTCAAGGGAACACCATTCAAAGATGGATGATTCATTAATATGTTGAACAGATATATGGCCAGTGCTTACTAGGAGCCAGCACTATTGTGGTTTCAGTGGACAGTTATGGTAAGCTCTATATGAAAGTCCTCATGGAGTTTCCATTCTAGCCTACAAGCCAGGCATTTTGTAAGTTGCTAGCACTACAATGAAAAAGAAGATAACTTGAATTTCAGATTAAAGTTCAAAATACCTTGGGGGAAGATAAATCATATGCAACTAACAATATAGAGCTATAAATAGAATAAAAACAGAAGGTTGAATTAGTTCTCCTTCTGTATTGTTGACTTATTGGTCCTCTTTAATTTAGCTTCCTAGAATTCCATACAGCAGTGATTTTTTTACTTTGCAAGGAGGGGGAACTTAGAGGAGGACTTTTGGAGTATAAAGTTAGGGAAAATATTAATAGGACCTGTGTACTGGGTAGTATGCTGAATTACCTCCTTCAAGATCACATTTTCATTATTACAACTCAGTCATTTTTACCTGTTTTTAGACTTACTTGATTCCCAAGGATTGGGCTTTTATTCCCACTGTATTTTTCTTGTAAAGTTTTTCTTAAAAACCTCCAAGAACCAATAAAAGTGGTTTGTCTGTGCCTTGCATTGGTGTTTCTCTCTATTGACTTCTATCTTTCACTGTCATTATGAGGTCAGGTGCTGTTACTTAAATACTTAGAAGCTTTGACTTTGTGTGATATTTTCATCTTTTCTTAAATTGCATATTTTTCCTTTTATGCTTCTAATGGGATGACAGAACTCATTGAAGTATAAGAGGTTAGTGTTAATGCTTTGAATGAAGCAGACTTTACATTAAAAAAATACAAACTGCATTTTTAAGTGCTTGAATGTTCATGATTGTACACTAGAGTGTACGTGCCCCAGTGCATGCTCCTTTTAAAAAGATTAAAGAGGAAAGCTATGCATGTCAAAGAGAAGTCCCAGTTTGAAAAGAAGCTGTGATATTCCTGATATGTTAGTTCTTTTCAGCACTGGAAAGACTGTTTTGTAGCATTTATCTTTTTTGGTATTTCAGGCTGACCAAGATAGAGTTGTCAATACTGAAGAAGATGATGATGATGGGGAATTAGCACTATGGTCTCCTGAAGTCAAGATCGTTGAACTAGTAAAAGATCATAAAGGCTTGGGATTCAGCATTTTGGATTATCAGGTATAAGAACCCAGATAGAGGTTTGTTGTTGTGTGTGTGTGTGTGTGTGTGTGCGCACGCGCTGTTAGCTTTCATGAAAGTTGTGTGAACTAGTAGTTGTTTAAGGCATCTACTGTCATAGGCAAAATTGAATGATTTGATGTTTGATGCTATTGTCTAAGATGAGGTATTATAATTTCACTGTTACCTTTACAGTCAATAATTCTCTTAATGTATAAAATGGTTGATATAATAACCAGACCATAAGGGAAACAATACTGTATATGCATAGGTTCCTTTAGAGACCATAACATGGCAATTTTTTTTTAAGAGGGTTCTCCCTCCCCACTTTATTGAGATGTTAAACATATCATAAAATTTGCCCAGTTGAAGCATACAGTTCAGTTATTTTTATTATATTCAAAATTATGCACTCATCACTATAGTATAATTTTAGAAAATTTTCATCTCTCCTAAAGGAAATCTCATACATATTGTTCTCAGCTTTCACTCTCCTTACTCTTCATGTGAAGGTGTTTATAGTTTCACTTATCTAATAATCTCAAGATTATACAATTAATTGTATAATTATTAATTGTATAATAATTAATTGTATACAAGATTATACAATTAAATAAAAATGTCAGTGAAAGTATACCTTGCCTTTTATATTTAATATATAACAAATAATAATTTATGTATTTATATATATGACGATATTAACTGGGGAAAATTTACTGAATCATGTTGGGGGATGTGATAAGTCTAAATAGGGCATCTAAATGTTTTTCTAGTTTACCAGTTTATAGTGTCTTCAGATCTGATTATCATGGGAAATTAAAACTATTGGCAAGATAGCTCTTCACTTCTAAGATGTGTGTTTTAATACTGTAGTGCCGCCTACATCCATTGTGGTCTAATAAAGCACACTGTACTCTATAAAGTGGATAAAATGCCAGGTAATATAAATTCAATTTTTAAAAAAATATAATGAAGCAGTTGGACACAGATTTAAAAAATATTTTGAGCATTATGTAAGAACATTAAATCCTATATTTTGGCAGTGTTATTTAAGATTACTAAAATAGGTTATTATACCTACTGGTTTTTGATGGCATATTTCTATGCTACATAACTTCTCAGTTATTAAAACTTCACTTTGGAATGTTATTGAATTGAGAATTGTTGATTCCCAATAATACCTAGGGGAATATTTTTTATCTAGAAATATCCATACAGTAAGATTCTTTAAATTTATATATTGGTTCATATTAAAGAATATAAGATTCATGGAAGGTACACTTCTTTTGTTCCTCCACAAATTTAGCCTTGTTGCCTTGCAAATGATAGATGATTAATAAATATTTGCAGAATGATTAAGTTTAGATTAACCAAAATTAACTGGAACTTAATGAACGTATTGAGGGAGTTTGTTGTTGTTAACAGTTTTGATCATTGGGATTGAGTTTAGAAAACATCTTTTAGATGTAGTCATGTACATTTTGATGGCTCCAGAATAGATGTTATGTTATCTATTATTAAATTACAACGTGTCATCATATAGATTTGTGTTTTCATATAGTTTTTATATCATAATGACTGCTCTTATGACTGTACTTTTTGAATATTGCCTATGTTAAGGCAGAGAAATGCTTCAGAAATTTAAATAACAAACATCACATAGAAAGAAAAACTTGATAATCCTTAACAGTTAATACCTAGTTACCAGAAAAAATTATCAATTCTGAGCTTTATACTTTTTTAAAACTATATAGTGCATTCTAATGTGAAATGTTTCTTAATTGCATTCCTTATGGATTTTTTAAATTTTATTTTTATTTCTAAAAGTCTAGGTTTTCCCTCCTATTACTTCACAATTATCATTAAACATACTGACATATATTTCTGCATAAATTATATAAAGTAATTTTACTGAAAAAGAAGTGTTAGGTTATTATATTTGGCCTTTGTGATTCTCAAGAAATTGATAGAAAAATGCTTCATTTCCTAAATGCTAATTTGATTCATATTAAAGGACCAAATATATTTCCTTCTGTAGGAAAACCTTGGGAGAAAAACCACTAAATCTTTTATTGAATGCCTTCCTTAAGTCAGTCTTAAGTACACTTATGGATATATGCAGTACGTTTCCACCATTTGTCGGTGGTATATAAAACCATGACAATCTGTAAAACTGTATCAGTGGTTGTTACCCACGATGACATTTAGATGACATATAAACACAATTTAAAATTTGGTTTTGGGCAAGTTAATTAACTGGGTATGCCTTCTTTGTTGTAATTAGATAATAAATTCTAAGGTTCAAAAATAGTTTTTGCAAGGCCAGGTGAAGGTTTAACAAAAGTCATGAAAGGCCACGTTTCTGATTATTACTGTATTTAATGCTTCCTGTGTAGATTTATTAGGTTGCCGAATAAGGCCACTTAGCTCCCCACCCCAATCTGCACTGCTCAGTTTAGCAGTTTGGAATAAGAAGTACTGTGAAAGCATCTTAACCATAGGAGAAAGTTTTACTAGAATGGGAGAGCTTCCAGATTGCAAAGAACCTGCTTTGCATTAGCAGTATTGAAGAGACTGAAAATTTACTTAGGAATATTAATTTCAATTAACCACTTTTCTCACTAGTGACTTTTCTAGAATAATAAGACCTTTGTCATTAGCCTGACAAAATTATATACAATTAAGACCTTTTTCAAAACCTGACAAAATTATACACATTACGTACTTCATATTTCATTGGTGTTTATGCAATTTCTTTATCTTTTTTTTTTTTTTTTAAAGATTTATTTATTTATTCATACAGAACTGGGGTACAGGCCAGAGGCTCAGGGGCGGTGAGAGGCTTCACCAGAGACAGAGTGGGGAACAGAACAGGCAGATGGACGAAGTACACTGCTGAGGGGAGCAGCGGGCGGGCCAGGAGAGGTCTGGCTCGCCATGTGGTCTCCTCCGGGGCAGGCGGCAGGCGGGAATCGAACTCATGCGGAAGTGGCTTCAGATTCTCAGTGCTGTGCTTTAACCCGCTGCGCCACCAGGGAGGGCCACAATTTCTTTATCTTTAATGGGAATAATAGTGTCTAGATTAAAGGATTGTTTTAATTAAATTATTGCATAAAGAAGTGAGAAATGTTACATCATTGAAACATAACATTATAAATCATCCAATTTAGAAAATAAACACAAAAATTTTGATGTCCTCAAAGGCAGAGCCATAATAACAAGGTATTTTACTCTATCAGCTTTTAACATAAGTTTACTGAAAGTAATAGTAAGTAGATGTACTTATTTAGTAAAGTCTACATTTAATTGCAAAATTGCATCCTAAAATGCAGCCAACTGTTGATGAGCCATATGTGAATTACCCAGTTATAGATTATTGATGGGAAATTCACTATTTTAGAAATTGAGCTGAACCTTAGTAAAAGCTGAGTGAGAAGACAAAGGATTTTAAACTGACCATAGAACTATTAGGTGACTATCCAGACCGGTGACATACCGCTGACATAGAAAAGAAGCTAAGCAGAGAAAAGCATGGTCTTATCCATGAAATGAAATAGCTGAATCTGGTATTAGAGTTCTGTAGCTCAGTCATACAGTTAAAGAGTAAAGTGTGGAAATTCCTTTTCATGAAATACATTTTAAATATTTTGGGGCAAAGGAAAGGGAGAAAGCATAGGGAAGCCACAATACATAAAATTGACAGTGATTTGAATAAAGGTAAAATAGTTGTTAGTGTCAAATATGCCTACAGAGTACTCCATGGAGTAGCTAGTTAAAATCCTGCTGGCGTATCTTATTACAAAGTCACATTGCTCACTGAAACTTCATGTCATACAGGATTTTTTATAGTATACTTTTTGCCACTTGTTTAGTGTGGTTTACATTTTGTGCCTTAATTATTTTTGGTTTGATTCCCCATTATTAATGGATAATGTCTTTATACCCTGGGATATTCTCCCCATGGAATTCTGCTAATATGCATTTTAACATTAACCCTAATATTAATACAAAGCCAATAACAATAGCTACCTTTATTGAGAGTTTACATTTTGATTCCTTTATGTATTTCGCATAAGAATCATATGAAATACATGCTCTTATTATCCTTATTTTGGAAAGAAGCAAAACTGATGATTAAGTTATGCTTTGTGAAATACAGAAAGTCAAAGACAGTTACTAGGTGGTTTCACTCATTTATGGATTATCCATGACCAAAGAAAACTGATAGGAAAACACAACAAAAATGACTCTTAGGCTCTTGAAAAATTTGGGAGTTACCAGATAGGAAGGGAAAGGAAGATAATGATACTGTGTTGGCACCGATGCTTTGGTGGTGGGTGAGTGAAGCATGTACATATATGTAGTATGAAACAGTAATCCTGAAATTACATTGGTTGATCAACAAATGATAAACCGATAAAAATCTGATTAAGAAAAAAATAAAGAAATGATGAATCTGAGGCACAGAGAGATTAAATAACTACACAACTCTGTCAAAGGTAAATCACTGGTTCAAGTTCAAATGGCTTATATATGATAGAACTAAAATTTGAACTCTAGTAGTTGGTTCCTGGAATCTATGCTCTAATCACTATTCTGTCTGTTATATAGTATACTAGAGCTCCTTTTCTTGTGATGGTAATTCTTTGCATTTTATTATGGGTGGGGAGGTTCCTGTGTATTAAATTTATTACTGTAGATCTTTCTGATTTTCTAGCTTGTAAAAAATTTAATATTTTAAAGACAAGTTGCTGGATAGTATTCTCACTTTTAATGCTTATGTGGAAGTTTAGTAAGTATTAAAAATTAATATAGCATGCTCATGTGCATTCTGTAGGAACTAGTGTTTATTGCTTCAAAAGAAAATAATTACAAATTTAAGAATCCTAAATTAGTGCAAGTAATTTGTTGTGGGTTAATGCTCATAATAGGGCAATTATTAGGTAGTCTGAGATTCTGTAATTTTTAATTTCTAACAAAGAGCTTAAATAAATTTAGAA